AATTTAGAGATACCCCAAAATACTGGCCCTAGAATTATTGCTCTCACTCCGGCGTGCGCGGCGATACCCAACATGTGTAGCGCGTTCGCCGTTTTCATACGTGGGTGCACCCAACGCGTGTTTACGTGGCGACGCGGGGCGGGGGACTTTTAAAATTGTTTTATTATTATTATTAGATTTATTTTATTTTGATTTTAATTTTAAAAACTGTTTTTTTTTGTTTTTTTTACTTTACTTTGACTGCTATCACATGGGGTGGGGGGGGGCTTACAAGCCCCCCCATGTGATAGCAGATGGTGGTGACAGGTACTCTTTAAGGTGATGCTGGGGGTCCAAAAGACCCCCAGTGTCACCTTTACACTGGAAATAAGCTATTGAAATGCAGATCGCACTTCAATAGCTTATAGCTGGGCTGCAGGAGCCCAGAACTGACAGCCCAGGGACCGGAAGTGATGCAATCTGCATCGCTCCCGGTCCCATAGAACGGGGAGGGGATCAATGAACGGAAGTTCGTCGACCTCCTCCCCGCGGACACCAAGGACGCCGGTCCTGGCCCCATAGGAGGGGCAACGGAGCCCGGGAAGCACGGCGGCGGTGTCCAGCCCCTTCTTCGGGACACAGAAGCGATCTGGAGACAGGTAAGTCGCCAGAATCGCTTCTGTTGTAAAGGCGACACTCGGCTCTACAAGTTTAAACAGACTCCCGGTGGCAAAAGTCGCCGGGAGTCTGTTTAAACAGCCCCGATGCCGGCGACGTACACTGTACGTCGTCAGTCACGAAGGGGTTAAACTTATTTTTACAATATGTATGCTATTTTTACATGCTTGTTGTGGCATACTACAGTTATGATTTCATGTACAGTAATACCTTGGTTTACAAGTAACTTGGTTTGAGAGCGTTTTGCAAGACAAGCAAACATTTCTGAAAAATTTTGCTTTGATATACAAGCAAATGTCTTGCAAGAAGAGCAACATTTTGTAGAAAAGCACCACCTGAATAAGGCTGTAGCAGTGCAAGCGATGAGTCTGTTTAACGACAATGCAATGTCACATTGGATAGATTCCTTGTTAAGGTTTCACGAAATGAAAAAGATTCCATTGAGTCAAGAGATAGCAGTGATTCCGTTAGTGATAGTGAAAGTCGTCCTACGCAATAATCCTCCTCTCTCTTGTCCCTCGCACACCGGCCACAAAAGGTACCGGTAATTGGTTTATTTTTCTTTATATTTTATACGTTATTATATTACAGTACAGTATTGTAATCATTTTATATGAATATTTTTGGGATGTGGAACGAATCATCTGAATTTCCATTATTTCCTATGGGGAAATTCGCTTTGATATACAAGCGCTTTGGATTACAAGCATGCTTCCGGAACGAATTATGCTCGTAAACCAAGGTATTACTGTATATAGCTTCTCTCATCTTAATTTCACTTCAATCAAGTCTCTGATTAACGTGAACCTATAAATTACTTTACAACTCCGTATGGATCAATTCCTGACATGTCACAATATGCAACAATATAATGTATAATAATTAGGGATGCGCCAATACTGTTTTTTCAGAATCGAGTACGAGTACCGATATTTCCTTTTTGCTTATGAACCAGTGACTTGCTTAACCTGCTGCCTTCTTCTATCTGTTGAGACTGCAGATGTGCTTACAGTTGTTTATGCCCCCACTCCCTCTCAAGGGCATAATGTGAAATAAAGCTCCTGTAGTTGAAATGTTCTTATTCTATTTCCTTATTTCTACTTTACGGAGAAACATTGGTCAATTGGCTGCAGTAATAGGGCAGACCTGGTTATTCTGGAGGGTATAGGTCACTGTATGTATAAAGTATACTCAAACATATAAGAATAAAGATGCTAGTTATTGTTCATATTTTTGTCTTTATACAGATGATTCTGAAATCTGCCTTAGCTGCCTACAAAGCTATTTTCTGTGAGTGACTGGTATACTAACTTATTAGTGAGAATGGATAATTCTGTGCAGAAACTTCATACAAATACAATACAAAATATAACAAGCATTAACTCAAAGTATTTGCAGCCATACAGAGACCCATACCAGTTACTAACAACAGACTAACCTATTATTGTCAGAGGAAATTATTGACCAGGAAAATTTGCACAATGGGCAGAATTATTCGAGTATAATTACTCGAATAATTAGAATATCGTGCAAAAGTTCATTTATTTCACTAATGCAACTTAAAAGCTGAAACTAATATATGAGATACACTCATTACATGCAAAGCAAGATAGTTCAAGCCGTGATTTGTCATAATTGTGATGATTATGGCTTACAGCTCATGAAAACCTCAAATCCACAATCTCAGAAAATTAGAATATTGTGAAAAGGTGCAATATTCTAGGCCCAAAGTGTCCCACCCTAATAAGCCATAACACCTGCAAAGGACAAAGGGTTCCTGAGCCTTTAAATGGTCTCTCAGTCTGGTTCAGTAGGAATCACAATCATGGGAAAGACTGCTGACTTGACAGTTGTGCAGAAAACCATCATTGACACCCTCCATAAGGAGGGAAAGCCTCAAAAGGTAATTGCAAAAGAAGTTGGATGTTCCCAAAGTGCTGTATCAAAGCACATCAATAGAAAGTTATGTGGAAGGGAAAAGTGTGGAAGAAAAAGGTGCACAAGCAGCAGGGATGACCGCAGCCTGGAGAGGATTGTCAGGAAAAGGCCATTCCAGCCACTTGGGGACTTTCACAAGGAGTGGACTGAGGCTGGAGTCAGTGCATCAAGAGCCACCACACACAGACGGATCCTGGACATGGGCTTCAAATGTCGTATTCCTCTTGTCAAGCCACTCCTGAACAACAAACAACGTCAGAAGCGTCTTACCTGGGCTAAAGAAAAACAGACCTGGTCTGTTGCTCAGTGGTCCAAAGTCCTCTTTTCTGATGAGAGCAAATTTTGCATCTCATTTGGAAACCAAGGACCCAGAGTATGGAGGAAGAATGGAGAGGCACACACTGCAAGATGCTTGAAGTCCAGTGTGAAGTTTCCACAGTCTGTGTTGATTTGGGGAGCCATGTCATCTGCTGGTGTTGGTCCACTGTGCTTCATTAAGTCCAGGGTCAACGCAGCCGTCTACCAGGAGATTTTGGAGCACTTCATGCTTCCTTCCGCAGACGAGCTCTATGGGGATGCTGACTTCATTTTCCAGCAGGACTTGGCACCTGCCCACACTGCCAAAAGCACCAAAACCTGGTTCAATGACCGTGGGATTACTGTGCTTGATTGGCCAGCAAACTCGCCTGACCTGAACCCCATAGAGAATCTATGGGGCATTGCCAAGAGAAAGATGAGAGACATGAGACCGAACAATGCAGAAGAGCTGAAGGCCGCTATTGAAGCATCCTGGTCTTCCATAACACCTCAGCAGTGCCACAGGCTGATAGCTTCCATGCCACGCCGCATTGAGGCAGTAATTGCTGCAAAAGGGGCCCAAACCAAGTACTGAGTACATATGCATGCTTATACTTTTCAGAGGTCAGATATTGTTCTATGTACAATCCTTGTTTTATTGATTGCATGTAATATTCTAATTTTCTGAGATTGTGGATTTGGGGTTTTCATGAGCTGTAAGCCATAATCATCACAATTATGACAAATCACGGCTTGAACTATCTTGCTTTGCATGTAATGAGTCTATCTCATATATTAGTTTCACCTTTTAAGTTGCATTAGTGAAATAAATGAACTTTTGCACGATATTCTAATTATATAAATATATTAGGGCTGTGGAAATTAAAGATTAATTTGTCGATTAATCGTTAAACTTTTTGATCGATTAAAATTATTTTGATCGCTAATGAAAACACTCACCTCTCCATTTCACTAATGCAACTTAAAAGCTGAAACTAATATATGAGATACACTCATATATAATTTCCTCTGACAATAATAGGTTAGTCTGTTGTTAGTAAAATATTTATATTATACAGGATTTATACTTATGTTTGTGTCAGTGATAGATCAGCCAAATCCTTTCATATTCTAACCTTTTCTGACAAATCGAGCATGGTTGATATTCAGCACAGAAATCTTGCTTCCCTCTAGTTTTGTACTGATCAGGGTAATCTGTTCAGATTACCCTGAAGGCTATGCCTTTCAGTTAAAAACACGTTGGGCTTGGTGCAGCAAAATGTCAATAGCTTGATCATTTCTATCAGGGACTGGTGCCTTTCCTGACTGATGTGGGTTTAATGACCACCAGGCCAGTCTGTGTGGACATGCCCTTCTCCCTTATATATTTGTATCAGCAATAATTTTTACCAAGTATGTGCTTTGTTACTTTTATTTTGTTTTACTTGCCAATGCCATAAATCCTACTGTAAACACATTTTTACCTAGATGGTTACTTTGAAACGTGTATATACACACAAACAGGAGACATTTCCACAACTACATTTATCTCAGGAAACACTAGATTATCTGTAGCTCATCAATTATTCCAGTTCTTCTGGGATCAATCTGCTGAGGCTGTCAGGAGAGGCCTCAAAAAGACTGACACTTGTAATTTAAGTATTAACATAAGTGGCGAATTACAAAAGTATAGTCTATCCTGGAATAGTAGATTTCAGTTTCAGGATCCCAGGGCTGGAATCTTTTTTGCCACAAGAAGGGTTTTTATTAGACATGTGCATGGCAAAAAAAATTTGTTTCGGACGAAACAAATGAAAACTAAAAACATTTTCATTGTATACGTCAAAGGAAATTAATTTTAATGCTGTTTCGGAAGCAATGAGCCTCTGAATCCGACACCGCACAATAAACTGCAGAACGAGCAACGGCCATATTGGCCGGCGTCACGTTCTGCGCATGCCCGCCTCCCATGGTCCCTGTGTGTTGTAAAGTAGCCACCGCTCCAAGCTCACTCCCAGGATGGACTACAATCTCACGTTTAGTTTACTAATTTGTATTGAGGAACCATGGGGAACAAAGGTAGCCACCCTCCAGAAGGAAGGACAGTGTCAGCTTGAATTCAGAGATGATTTGAGGATCTACAGCCGAGTGATACACAAATAAGTTACAGTTTTGTTAATAGTTAAGGTACTTGAATGCATTTTTAAGATTTAACTCCTGGGTTTAGAGCCACTTTAAGTGTGAGGGGATCTTAGTGAGAGGGAGCTCTGCACTGAAAGCTGTCAATAGGAGCCCCCAAAAATGAAACGTAATAAAGCTGATGTACTAAAGGGAAACAGGCTGTTCACTTTGCAAGGGAATTTGCACTTTGCAGGGGAAGTTTCCCTGAGCTGGTGAATGTGGTGATCTTTCATGTTTCAAAGATTAGCCAATCACATGCAAGGGAACAAAATATTTTTGCTTCTACACGATTGGAAGATGGAAGTCAGCAGAAATTTACATCAGTCACTAAACTTCCCCTGCACAGTGCAAATTATTTTGCCAAGTGAACAGTCTTTTTGTCTTTAGTAATTCAACCAATGTATCCATTTCACCTTTTGTAATAGAACAAAACACCCTAAAGACAAATACTACAGGTGAAGATTTCCCAGCTATGTGAGTAACACCAAATATGTAATGCTTGGCAAAAACGGAATACTTCGATTATTTTACTGGGTAAAATATTTTGTGGGTAATCATCATCATGGTTTACGTTTTTGACATTCAGTCCTTGACACAAGCTCTAGCGTTGTATGACCAACTTTACCTGTTAAGTATTTTATTGTAATTTTTCTTTCAAGATGTTTTCATGTTTTTAATGATGCACTCAATTTTAGATATCGCCTCCAGTGCCGGAAACACTGCCCCCTGAAAACATATGAGGACAATGGCAGGAAAATGTGTATGGCCTGTCCATTATGGTGTCGTGAATGCCACAATGAAACACATTGCTCTTCCTGCCAAAGTGGATATTATCTGTATGGTAAGAGAGGAGAGCTGTAAAGCCTTATCAGCCACTTTACTGCATACCTGTCACATATTTGTTCAGCTCTGAATAACTAAAGACACCCATACATACATGCACGCACACACTCAGAGACAGAAAGGCACACTGAGATAAAAGCATAGTATACACCCAACATACACGTACATTAAAGGGAGTGTTCATAAAACAACAAATGTGAATTTCATCAAACACATGCACCTGGAAGATTCACCTGCTGTGACTGGTGAATATAAAATGCACTGCTTTATAAACATGCCCTAAACGTGTGTCTATATCTATATAAAAATTTTAAGTTGTAAGGATCAGTGTTACTCAAATTTAAAATAAAAAAAATAATGATAACACTTGCTTTAAATTATAATAATCAGTGTGAATATGTTGCAATGATAAGGATACTTTATGAGGAATTTCTGTAAATATAAATTCATATACTTCCATAGTGATAAAGATTTTCTTAGAGGGTTATACACTGTGGAGCCGAAGGATCCAGCTGTAGCTTCGGCTGATCCTTTGGCTCGCTTCGGCCGTCTGAGCCCTTCAGTCATTAAACAATAACAACTGGACAGAGCCGGCCGTAACATCACGACTGTTCCTACCCAGTTGTTATTTATTGGCACCCAGTTGTTATTCATTGGCCTCTGGAAGGTGCCGGCCAATAGGAAACAGTTGGGCGGAGCTAGCGGTGATGTCAAAATTGTCAGATTTGACATTATGCGGCGGGACCTCGTCACGTGCGGTCGGGTCAGCGTGTATTGTTTTTTTTATTTTCTTTAAAATATTTTAATTCTTTTTAATTTTCCTTTTTTTTAATTTTTTAAATATTTTTTCTACATTTTTTCTCCCCATTTAACTTTTTTACTATTTTGCTCGCTACCTCAGAGGTACCGAGCAGAATAGCTGAGCCGAATGTGGCTCGGCGGCATTCGGCTATTCACTTACTGCTGTTCGGCCCCTATGAGAATAGGGGTGAATGGAATCGTATGAGCTGCCGGAGCTTCGGATTATTTGGATCGGCTGAACTCCTTTTGCACTTCGAAGGCAGCCGATGTATGGCTGATTTTAGCCGATTTATGGCTGAAATCAGCCGTACAAGGCTGAAGTGCATAGCCGAACAGCGTTTCGGCTCACATCACTTCGGCTCGGTTATTCACTCGGCTGCCTTTGGCAACTAAGTCAATAACCCCCTAGTGACTGGGTAATTAGAGCATTGGATTATAAATAGAAGATTTTACATTTTCTTTTTTTTACATATAATGATTATTATTATTATTATTTAGGATTTATATTGCGCCACCAGTTTGTGCAGAGCTTTACAGAATAAAGGGAGACAGTTTGCGCAGAGCTTTACAGAATAAAGGGAGACATTACAATACAATTTAAATATCAGTAGGGTTACATGGGCCCTGCTTGTGAGAGCTCACAATCTAGAATATTGGTATAATAGATCACTGTAATGGATATGATTCAAATATATTAAAGGTAACATTTAAACCACTGGCGGAACGACCAGGGTCGTAGTGATCGCAATTACGACCGGGCCCTGGTGCTCCGCCTGTTGGGGGGGCCAGAGAGGAAGAAGAGGCACATCCCCCCGAGATAGTGCCGCACCCTCCCCCGCTGCTTTGCCATGGGCTGTGTTGGTCAGCTTCAGCCTCGTAAAGCCGCTACCAACACTGCAGGCATGTGCAGGCCGCACATTCTTCTGTTGGGAGGGGACCCTCTCCACTTAATCCCGCCCCCTGGCTGGCAAAGACGAAAAAGCTGCTACAGGAGTCAGGTAAGGCTGGTGTGGGTGAAGGCTGGACCAGGAAGGGGGGTGGTGGTATTCAGCATTGCTGATTATAATGTATTGCTGGGACTTGTTGTCCTGCATAGCTGGTGGTATTCTGCATAATGATTATAATGATTAGCATTATAAAGTATAATGATAGCACCAACTATGCAGGACTACAAGTCCCAGCAATACATTATATTATTACGTAGGGATGCACCAGTGCAGATACTGGGCATTTTCATGAGTACTCCCCCTCCACGCCCCCTCCTACCCCAGAACGCAGTGAGCCGGCCGTGATGCGATCCACTGCGTTCCGGCACCAGATCAGGCCAGAACGCACTGGGGCTGGTGTGAACTAACCCTGAAAGTCATAACATACATACTGTTTATTTAATATATTAAAAAAAGTATCAAAATCATGTTTTTTTGGGGTAGAGGGGGGGCCTGATTTAAACAGTGGAAAATATTTTCACTTGAATGTACGCATAAGCTAGGAAAATTGTGGGGTCAGCATATAGTTTATGTGTGTTTTTTTGTATGATGTAAGGTACGGCAAGACAGAAACTGGATATACAGGTAAACAAAATATGGATGTACTGATTTGAGCATCGTGAAAGTTTTATTCTATACATGTAACCAGGGCCGGCCTTAGGGGTGCAGGAGGGAGCGCTGCCTGCTGTCAGGATGGCGGAGCAGTGAAGGGGAGAGAGGCCGCGCCCGCAGCTGTCAGGATGGCCGACCGGGTAGGAGATCGGAGCCGCTGTCATCCTGTCAGTTTCAGGATGACAGCGGCTCTGTGCGAGGCTGAGTGGAGGATCGGTAAATATCAGTGATATTTACCGGTCCTCCGTGTGAGAAGGACAAACACTGGATCGATCGTCTGATCACTCCGGTGTGTCCCCCAAAAATGTAAACTTACAAATAAAAAAGAATAATTTTTTTTTTAAAGTCCCCCCATACATACACGCATGCAAACAGGCGTGGGGTGCGCATACGCGTGAAAACGACGATTTCGCCCATTACGCCGCACATGTTACATATCACCGCGAACGTCGGAATGAGAGCAATAATTGTAGGGCTATCAATAACTGATAACACTAAACTGTTAACGGTAAAAGCTTTTAAAGCGTCACCTATGGTCAATTTTGGGCATGGTCATTTTTTGCGATTTCGCGGGTGCGCGCAATTTTAAAGCATGACATGTTTGGTGTCTATTTACCCGACGTGACCCCGCTTTTTATATTTTACCAAAAATATGGGTAATAAATGGGTGTGGTTACTGGGGGTGTGGCCATGAAAGGGTGTGGCCACTGAGGGTGTGGTCACTGAGGGGGCGCTGTAAAGCTTTCTCGCACAGGGCGCCTAAAGGCCTAAGGCCGGCCCTGCATGTAACCACATCTGTCTACTTAACCACTTCTGGGCCGGCCGTAGTAAAAAAACGGCCGGCCCGGAGCTCTCTAGATCTGAGCGGGTGTCTTTAGACGTCCGCTCAGACACTCCCCTCGCGTGCGCACGAGCGGGAAACGGCCGGAATTTAAAAACAGGCAGCGATGCCTGTTACCATACAAGCGATCCGCTGGCTGTAGAGCCGGCGGATCGCGTGTATGGGGTGCCGATTGGTGTGTGTCCCCCCTGCGCGTAGGACCTGTCACATATTGTGCTATCACATAGGGGGTTTTTATTAGCCTCGTATGTGATAGCAATAAAGTTTAGTAAAAAGGAAAAAGAAAATTAAGTTCCCCCCCCAAAAAAATGTAAAGTAACACATAAAAAAGAATAACACATAAAAAAATAAAGTCACACATGAGAAAGAAGTAAAAAAACCCCACAATTTTCTTTTAAAGTCCCCACCCATACATACACGCATGCAAACATGCGTCGGGGACGCATACGTGCAAAAACGACGATTGCGACCATTACGCCGCACATGTTACATATCGCCGCGAATGTCGCAGTGAGAGCAATACGTTTTGGGCCATCAATCACTGATAACACTAAACTGATGAGCGGTAAAAGCTTTTAAAGTTGTCGCCTATGGCCAATTTTGGGTATGGTAGTTTTCTGCGATGTCGCGGGTGCGCGCAATTTTAAAGCTTGACATGTTTGGTGTCTATTTATCCGACGTGACCCTGACTTTTATATTTTACCAAAAAACTGGGTAATAATAAATGTTTCCTAACATAATGTAAAAAAAAACTTTTTTTTTTCAAAATTTTCTTTCATTTTTCCTAATTATAGTAAAAAATAAAAACCCCAGTGGTGATTAAATGCCACCAAAATAAAGCTCTATCTGTCCCCAAAAAATGGTATAAAATTAATTTCAGTACAGCGTTGCATGACGGAATAAACTTCAGTCAAAGTACTGCAGTACTGCAAAGTACTGAAAAATGGCCTGGCCAGGAAGGGGGTCTAAACACCTGGTCTTGAAGTGGTTAATTCTAAACAAAACACTTTATTTTACAGATGCAGATTGTGTACTTAAGTGCCCAGATGGTACTTTCCAGAATTCAAAGAACTGGCAATGTGAAAGCTGTCATAAATCCTGCCAGACCTGCCATGGACTGTCACCACGGGATTGTGACTTTTGTCCAGATGGGAAAGAGCCATCCTATGGCATGTGCCATCTTGTGACCTGCTCTGATGGACAATATTTTAATGGTAGGTTATAAAAAAAAAAAAAACCCAGTCTAATCTTCTGTAATTGAAATCAAAGGGTCAGTCATATTATATAAAGAACAATTACTTAAAGGATAAGTTCATATTTTGCAAATTTTTAACTTTAAATCACCTCAAACGGCGTCCTCACTCTAGGTAGAGCTGCCCATTCTCCCGCATCTACCCAGAGGGAGGATGGCTGGATGCTGTATGAGGTGCTTTATTGCAGTTTGAAGTCCAGCTGTCCTTCCCCCCCATCTCTCCTAACTGAAACTTCGTACCTCCGTAGGAGCTCTGACAGTTTGGAAATTTGCAGAAGCCTGAGCTTTGCAGCTGTGAGTGAGTGATCACAATTGCAATGCTGCCCAGGCTTAAATGCAAATATTAACCACTTGAAGACCAGATGTTTACACCCCCTTCCTCTCCAGGCCATTTTTCAGTATACAGAGCTGCGGTACTTTGACTGACGTTTATTTAGTCATGCAACGCTGTGCTGAAATTCATTTTATAAACTTTTTGGGAGGCACATAGAGCTTTCTTTTGGTGGTATTTAATCACCACTGGGGTTTTTTTATTTTTTTACTATATTATGGAAAAATTATTGAAAATGTAAAAATTTTTTTTTTTTTTTACATTGTGTTAGGAGACAATTATCATTACCCAATTTTTTAGTTAAAATATAAAAGAACGGGGTCACGTCGGGTAAATAGACACTAAACATGTCAAGCCTTAAAATTCCGCGCACACATGAAATTGCTAAAAACTACTATACCCAAAAATTACCATAGGCGACGCTTTAAAAGCTTTCACCGCTCATCAGTTTAGTGTTATCAGTGATTAATGGCCCAAAATTATTGCTCTCACTGCAACGTTCACTGTGATATGTAACATGTGCGGCGTAATGGGCGCAATCATCATTTTTGCATGGATGCGCACCCGACGCATGTTTACACGCATGTATATATGGGTGGGGACTTTAAAAGAAAATTGTGGTGTTTTTTAACTTCTTTTTCATGTGTGACTTTATTATTTTTATTTTTTGCAACTTTAATTTTTTTCCCCTATTTTTTTTTCACTTAACGTTATTAAGAAACCCCCCTATGTGATAGCAAAGAGATGTGACAGGTCCTCTTTATGGAGACATCAGGGGTCTCTAAGACCCCTAATGTCACCTAGGGACCCCCAATGAAGCTGATGAAGCACATATCTGCTTCATCAGCTTCTCTCCAGCTTCTGAAGCTGGAGAGTGACACAAGAATGAGGAAGTGATGTAACATACATTACTTCTGCATTCTGACACCGGAGAGGGGATCGGAGGGAGATCGTGTACCAATCTCCCTCTGATTCCCTGTCACAGAGCCCCCATGCTGGACCCGGGCTCGCACTGGGCACAGCGGAGCTCGGAACCAGCGGGAAGGGGGGGGGCTGCGGAGGGAGGGGCGGAACAGACCAGCGTGTTCTACAAGCAATCTGCCGGTTCTATAGCCGGCGGATCGCTTGTATGTAAACAGGCATTGCTGCCTGTTTTTAAATTTGGGCAGTTTCTCGCACGAGTGGGTGGGGCCAACAGGCCGTCTTTAGACAGTCGGTCAGATCCAGGAAGCTCCCGGCCGGCAGCTCCTCTACAACGGCCAGCCGGGAGGCAGTTAAAGAAATGCATAATTTTTATATATTATTAATTTTTGCAAAAGGTGACCTTATCCTTTAATGACCCTACAGCCCTGTGTGCTGTAGCTCCAGCTAAATACGCATATAGAAGGACAATATTGTATGCTGAGGCAAGATAACTTTGTGTAATATGATTAATCCCATGGTATGGCCCTGATTCTGGAAATTTGGGATCTGCTGATCTAGTCAAATGTTCCAAGCCTTGCATGTGTCCCAGGAGTGCTAGACAAGCTCTTTTAACAACTCTGCACATAATTACCTTCTAAGGCTTTGTTCTAATCCTAGGTAGAATACAGGAAGTGGCTATAAAGTATGTATATTCTCTGTGTGTGTGTATATGTTGTTACTGATTAGGATTTCAATTATCATAAATAAAGAAAAAAAATATTATGGCAAAAGTATCTGAATTGTTTTTTTGCAGGTAAATAAATGTCATCATTGGTATAATTTGTGATGGTCATATACAAGGTTTTTTTTAATAAACTTTTAATGTGACTCTTCTTTTCCTTATAGGTCCGAGCCGAGGCATATGCGTTCGGCTCCACTGAGCCGCTCGGCCACGTTCGGGAGCTGTACGGGCTATTGTGAATAGCCCGTACAGCACCCCTTCGGTTCTACTGAACCAAAGGGGTCTTGGGGCCGAAGCTTTCGGCCGAAGCTACGGCTAGATCCTTCGGCAGCTTTGTGAATAGACCCCATAGTCTATTTAATGATATTGTGGAAATACATGTAAAAGAGCTTAAAGTAAATGTCATAATAATTGTCAATGTGTGTTATTGTATTTATTATGTTTTCTATGTTTCATTAGTAATTATCTATGACACAAGAGCAATCATATTTGATTATTATATTCTCAGACTCTTTGTAGAGCTGCACAAGGGTTCTGCTTTACAGCTTTTTTCTTGCAATGTAAGTCTGTGAGTCAGCATACTCATAGAAAACAATGCAGTGCTTGTCTGTTTGATATCCTATGTCATGAACTCCAGACAAATATAGAAGACACAAAATAATGCAGCTATGCATCTATTAACCTCCCCGGCGGTATGATTATTCAGGATTTTAGCAAGCCAAAGCGGTACATTCACTGGACAAAGCTCTAGGGACAAAATTGAAGTGAAATAGTTCGATACATAATTGTAATCATAGCAGATTACATTGTATTGTGTGTATTCTGTGTATATTGCAACTTTTCACTTTTGAATTTCCCGCCTGCTGTGACGCCCGAAAACGAAACTAAAAGTTAGATGCCGGCATCGGCCGCGTACAGCAGAGGACACCGCGGGCTCGCAGGTACAAGGTAAGTGACACTTTTCTGGCTCGGGGTTACCGCTCCTGGTATTGAAAATTAACCCCGAGCCAGACTCGGGAATACCGCCAGGGAGGTTAATATATATTTTTTTTAAATACAAGCTACCTGAATTTGACTTGACTGGTCTGATAGAAGGAGAGAGAATTGTTACAAAGAGATGAGGGTAGGGTGGGGAGCACCTGTATGTTTTACTGAACTGCAGCAGAAATATCAGGTTTCTGATGTTTGCCAGACAGGGTTGTGTTGTGTGGCAGAGCTGTGTAAATCTTAGAAGTGGATGAACAGAAACAGAAATAATTCAGCAGGTAACACAACTCCATTAGGATTTTCAAAAAAAGGCCATGTCAGACGTTTGATTGTACATATTTGAAATTTCCATCCAGTTATTTGTTGTTCTCTTTATTGGTCCATTGTATATTAGTATGCATGATTGTGTCAGTTGCAAGAAAGAAAAGATGTTTTCTATTGGAATTTTCTTTTGACTAGGGATACCTACAAACTTGAGGTGTGCTTCTTCTGGTGAAGTAAACAAAGGTGTTCAAAATCTGGTTTCAATAGAAAACACAATAGATAAAGCGCACTCCTGTGGGAAGGACACACTTCCCACAGGAACTTAATCTGGCAGTAGATATTGAACAAAAGGCCAGCATTTCTTAAGTGTAATTTAGGGTGTCTGTGATCAGATTTTTGAAAAACAAATGTAATAAAGAAATAACGCACTAAATGGGATGACAACTTATAGGTACAGACTATAACAAACAGTGTGCAAGCTCCATGTAAACCAGGGGGAGGAGAGCCCTGTGGTGTAAAACATAAACAAAATGAACAAGAGCGCCACAACTGTCTGTGTGGTAAAGACTCACGTTTGGGCTGTTGCCAAGTCTTGAGGGGGAATGAAACCCCCATTGGTGTCCTTGTATGAATATGAATTGGCAGATGAGATCTAAACAATAGGTGCCTATGTGGACAGTGACTGATGTTAAGAGCGGGTGCTGTCCCCTACATGAACACAGCTGGCCAGGCTGAGCCATTGCGGCAGACATGCAATACACAGAAGCCGTCAGAGTGTCAGGTGTCTCTAGAGACAGGGCACTCCTACGGAGCTGCGGCGATGTGAGTCCGTGGTATCGTGCCGTGTAGTCACTAAGTAACGGTGACGAGGGGTGCTTGAAGTGGTCTAAGCAAAGGGATCTCTGTGGCGGCTACGCGTTTCGAGGGGTTGCCTCTTTATCAAGCCTCAGGAAACGCGTCTGAACGGACTGCAATGGTGTGAATTAGGCACAAGAAAGCCCATAGGAAAGCATTGGGATGTATTTTGACTGCAGCAGTTAAAATAAATGGACTGCATCACAGCTGCATATAATAAATTGATGTATTTAAGGTTAATAAAGCATATATATTTGTGAACTTACCACAGACAAATATTCTTTTAATTTATATATGTATGGAAAAATGTGAAAAATACACATAGCCAATTAAAGTTGTATTTAGGAACAAATAATAATTATTCTTGCTATTGTATTTGTTCTCCTCAGTGGCAGATGGCAAGTGTTACGCCTGTGATCCATCTTGTCAGAGTTGTTTTGGCCCACAAGCGCTGGACTGCTTTTCCTGCCATTTCGGTAAAGTATAGCACTTCTTTTGTATAATGCGAAGGTACTACGTTAATTCATTAACATTCCAGGAAATACATTTGTATTTGATAGAATTCTTTGTATTTGATAGAATTATTTGTATTCTCTCTTAGCAGCAATGCTTGTTGTAATTCTTTTACTACTTTGAATATACTATCTGTTGTGGTTTATTAAATGTATGATTTGAGCATCTCAGTAGGAGACAAAGGAAGTAGTGCAAATTAAATTTGCAATCATTTGTCTTATGGACTATAGGAATCCGGGAAGTTGTTCAGGGTCAGTTCTAGAGCTGTTACGTGTGTTAATTACCAAACTATCCTTTAACTGGGGATGAAAGCTCAATGGTAGCCTGGTGTTACAATGTTATACTAGTGTGACTAGTGTAGATTTTCAGAAAAGATTCAGTCCTCTTCATGTGGTGAGACAAATGTGCTGCAACTTCTCTCAAATTGATAAACTTAGCCTTTGGAATATACTGTATATATGGTAGACTGGTTGTATTTAGCTAGCCTATGGCTCAGGTCCTTAGCCTGTTCTGCCACCGAATGACTTGGCATTCATGTGGTAATTACCAAACTATCCTTTAACTGGGGATGAAAGTTCAATGGCAGCCTAGTTTTACAATGTTATATCAGTGTCACTAGTGTAGAATTTGTCAGACAATATTCAGTCCTCTTCACGTGGTGAGACAAATGTACTGCAGTTTCTCTCAAACTGGCATCTTTTCATATATTTACTGTATATGTGTAGTTTATGATGTAGTAGCAGATTGATGTCAGATTAAAGCATTAATATTCATATGTCTATATATTTTAGGTTTGCATATTATAGGTTTATATTAAAACTATTGATAGTTCCTACTTCATCTCGGGTTTTAGGAGGAGGCAGAAAAAAAATTCTATTAAAAATGATTGTGCTGTGCCTGAAATGCAGCAGTATGATTAATACTGAATGATATCATTAAAGATGATTGCCTTATTACAGTGACCTTGAGCAAGGTGAGAGTGTACAATGAGGAACTTTCATGCAAATTCTGACTATATTTCAGGTCATTTTCTGGATGAGGAAAACCAGTGTGTTCCCAGCTGTCCTCACGGATTCTTTGGAGATCCATTCAGTCAAACCTGTGAAAAGTGCTCAGTGACCTGTGAAAGTTGTGCAGGTAGCAGTGAACACTGCTTAAAATGTAATACCAAAGATCATCATTTGTTTCTCCATGAAGGAAGCTGCCTTTCTGGCTGTCCCGAGTAAGTACTTCTCACCTGAAGTATTACATAACCACTGAAATCAATGCAAGTCCCTCAAGGTATTGCATTCTGGGGCAGGCACAGCTGGCTCTAGAAATGCAGAGCAAGCTGTCAATCAGGCAGCAAAGTAGATCTCAACAATATTGTTGGGGTCTTTCCCGGCTGCAGCGCAACTCTGCACTGCCAGCAATAGGGGGCAGTAGCCCGATAAATGCTGGCTTTGGATCACAGGACTACATTAGTAAATGTACTCCTTTGACCCAAAAGAGGACTAAAGCCAATTACAAAGTTTGGCTTTTCTTCTCTTTTAAAGTGAACCTTCAGCTGTGACCTACATGGGCAAAACAAAGATTTGCTTTAAAAATACTCCAGACAAAGGGAAAAAAATCACTGTGTAGTTATATTTTAAAAAGTTATGTAAACTTGGTACCTCTTACCTACTGCGTGTCAGACGATTTTTACTAGGGGGGTTCCCATCAGACTTGTAATTGTTGTTACATGCCCATACAAGTGTAAAAAATACACAGCAAAGTACTTACAATCAAACAAAAAATAAAAAGAATATATAAATCATAACTAAAGCAATCAAAATATCACATGGTGTTGAAATGTACGCTTGCAATCTGTTGACATAAAAGCATACACCTGATTTCCCCACTGTGACAGGTGCAATTAGTTTCCAGGTTTTTATTCTACTGATCAGCATTTGACAGCCACTTCCCAGCACAGGACTGCAACCTCTTCTTTTTATATGAGCTTGTGTCTGAGAATCCCCAGTCTGTTGACATTATTCCTAGGCTATTTCAGTCCTTACTGACCAGTGCATAACTGTCTAGTGCTGGAGCAACCTGTGTCAGAAGTTTTTAAGGTTGCCAGTCTAGGTTTCCTCAAAAGTCTGCAGTACACTCACTACTAAAATTGGTTTTGTATGCTGACTGGCATAGTTATGTACTCTTCCCAAGCATTTTGCTCAACAGTGCCCTATTGAGGAGGAGTTTCTTAAGAAGTGGGCTGTTTCAGTTGTGGACCTGGCCATTTCCTGCCTTAACAAGAATGTGACCATCCATGTTAAGCACATTCCAGTGTTTATAAAACTTGTGGCTAAAGACTGGAAGGCTTTTCTAAGATTTTTTTTGTTCCTAGCAGGCCCTACCCTGCAACTGGTTATGAATGTTATATCCATCTGCCATATAATGGGGGTATGGTTCAAGAATATGTCTAGGATCCAGGATTGATCTGTACTAATCCCTTGATTCTCCAGCAATTGTAACCTTTGCCTGTAGCCCTGCACTGCTGTGTTCATGAGCTTGCAGATGTCATAAGCTTGATATATAGAATGGGTTCCACATTAAAGGTCTCCCCTAGAAAGGGAAGCCCTTTGGTTCAAATGCCAAACATCAGTGCAAAAAATGCGTATTGTGTATGCATTTTGAAGGCAAGCATCTTTTTGACACCTCTCTAAACTACTTTATCAATAGTGTCATGGAGGGGAAAAGCACCTGTTTTTCTTCAACAAAAAAAGGCTAAGCGGCAGATTCTACCTTTGAAGCTAGGAGGAGTTCCGTTTACTTAGTTCTCTAGGCCCATCTCCAATCCTTAGACCCAGTTCCACCACAAACCTTAGACTCCGAAAGCCTCCAAGCCGGCGAACAAGTCCTTCACACAAACCGGCATCCCCATTTCTTAAAGTGGGGGGATGTACCTGTTAAAGAAAAAAAAAGTGGGGGATGTCTGTTGGCATTTGCAACCACCCGGTTCAAAAGCTTATCAGACCTGTGTGAAGGACATAATGTCCAGGAGCTACAAGCTACAGTTTCAAGGTCTACCTTGTGTTTCACCCTGCTTCATGTTGTCCAGTCTGCCAATATGTCAAAAGACTAGCAAATCTCCTTGCTGCTTTGACACAGCTCCTTTCTCAAGGGGTCATTGCTGTCTTCCTGGAACAAGAAAGGTTTCAGGGTTCCTGCTTAAATCTTTTCACTATCCCACAAGCAAAAGTAGACATTTGCCCCATTCTGGATTTACAGGTTTGTAATGTCTTAATTCGAGCACAAAAATCCCACATGGAATCTATCAGGTCCGTCATTGCTTCCCTCCATTTGGGGAACCTTCTTGCCTCTGTGGATATCAAGAATTCCTATTTGCATATCCTCATCATTCCAGCGCATCAATACTACCTGTGTTTTATGGTGGGCACACAACACCACCAGTTCATTGTCCTTCCTTTCATTCTGTCCATGGCACCTCGGGTCTATAACAAGGTGCTAGCTCCTATACTTGCTCTGCTTAATTCTGAGGGCATCCTCATAGTGGGATACCCGGGTGATCTTCTTTTGAGGGAACAATCATCATAAGCCCTGTCTGCCAATGCCCATTAGACCCTGTTGAGGTTCAGTTGGCTCCAAAACCTACCAACATTAGTGCTGGAACCTACTCACTGCTTGGGATTTTTAGGTCTCCTAGTAGATATGGCTTTGTCTGGGGTTTTTCTTCTGCAAGACAAACTCATGACTCTCTACTCCCAGGTTCACACTCTGTATTCTAAGAGCTGACAAGCCCTTTGCTATTTTATGTGGATTATGAGCTTGATGGTTGCCTCCTTTGAGACAGTTGTGCATGCCCCATTCCACTCCACACCACTGCAACTCATCAGGCTGCATAGGATGCCCAGGACCAGGTTATCCCTGACCTGATGGCTCATAAATCCAGCCCTGAAATTGAGTAAATTTTTATTTCTCTCGGTCTGGAAGATTCTCACAATGGGTGCCAGCCTGTCAGGCTGGGGAAGGGTCCCAGACACCCTTTTGGTACAGGGGACTTGATCAATAGAGGAAGTCCACCAAACAACATAATCAAAATCCGTGTGATTCAGTTATCCCTTCACTGCTAGACCTCTTGACTGCTGGGTCATCTGACCCAGATTTATTTGAATAAAGCCACTAACATGGTGTACTTCAATCATTAGAGAGAAACCAGAAGTATTGTGACTCAAGAGAGGCTGACCAGGTTCTGGTTTGGATGAAACTTCACATTTCAGTCCTGTCTGCTTTGTACATTTCAGGTGTGGAAAATGGCAGGTGGACTATCTTAGGTGTCAAAGCCTGGACTCTGAAGAGTGGTCTTTCTCTGGTCTGCTCTTGATCAGCATTTTGCTTTGAGTAGCTTCAGTGGACAAATCTCAGCCCTCATGGTTCTTTTCCGTGAATGAAAGCCCTTCTACAGGGTGTTTCTTGTTCCTGGTTCTGTCTGTTCTCAAAAAACTACCTTGAACCCATCATAGCGATTCCTCTGTCAACTTTAATTCACGAGGTAGCTTTTCTTGTTGCCATCAGCCCTGCAAGGCATGATTCTGATTTAGGAGCCTGTTAGGCACCTTTTCTGGTGCCACTCATTGACAAGGTTGTCTAGAGGCCTTAGGCCTCCTCTCTCCTTCATATAGTTTCTCCCTTTCACCTTAACCAAGACATTGTGCTTCTGTCTCTCTGACCTGTGCCAGTACATTTCAGGATATCCCTCCATTGTTTGGATGTAGTGCAAGCTGTTTGTATATCGTTGAGGGATGGCTTCCCTACAAGAAACTGACTCCTTTTTTGTCATTCCCGTGGGACCCTAAAAGGGATAACCTGCTTCTCGCTTAACTCTTGCTAGTTGGCTCAGGCAGATCATCATTTAAGCCTATAGACTTAAGGACAAGGTTCTACCTTCCTGTCAAGGCACACTCCACCAGATCAGTGAGCGTCTCTTGGGCTTTTCAGCATCAGGTATTTGTTTCTAAAATTTGCCACCTGATGTTCTCTTTACACGTTCGCTATATTGTACAGGTTGGATGTTTAGGCCTCTTCTGATGGCAGCTTTAGACATAAGGTCCTTCAGGCAGCTCTTTGAGCTTCAAGCTAACCCAGTTGTACACTGTTGTTTTTGGAGGGCTTGTTAGCATTTTGTTCGCTGTGTTGGTTACCCCTCAGTTGGGCTGCTTTTGGTCCTTCTTGTCTCAGAATTAACCCTGCGTCTCTCCTAAGTCTTCTAATGAATGAGAAATAATACATGATTTTTGTACTTATTGTAAAATCCTTTTCTTGGAGTCGATTAGGAAACGCGGATTCCACCTCTTTGTCTGTGCGATCCACTCCTACTATTATGTGTAACTGTATACTGACCGTATATACTAGACACCTTTCTGTATCTTAATTTCCTCTCATAATAAAACAATTGCATTTAAAATAAAATTAATTGATTACTTTCAAACAGTCACAGTCAGTATGTTCTATTACTCCCTAATTATTGCAAGTCAAATTAAGGTATTTACACTAGCTGCATTTATACGAGTAAATACATTTAACATTTTTCAATAAACACATATACATTATTTGGTGTTTTATATTTGGCCAATGTTAAACTATTGTGATTAAGATTCTATTTAGGAAATTACATATATCAAAGATAAAATGCTAAATGTGCAGCGCTAAAAGGTGATATTTAAGTGAAAAATCAAGTGTACTTAATATCGCAAAAAATCAATAAATAAAGTATTACAGTGCAATAATCAACTAAACAAAAGTATATTAAAACAATATGTGATAGGCTCTATATGGCCTCGGTGTAAACGATCAATTATCTTCATCACATTATTTTGTCACCCTAATAGTGATGATTTCAAAAGTGCATAAATAATGTCCAATAACTTCAAATGGCTATTTGCAGACCAAAACAATTGAATTTAACCCAGTCCCAGATGGTGATCCATCAAGCATATATCCAAGTGCAATATGGGTGATTAATTCAAAGTGAGTTTGATGAAAAAGACTCCAAACGAATGTTTCAACAAAATATTTGAAAAAAATCTTCCCACACCACTGTGTCTTAAGTGTCCACGAATGCTCCCTCTGGGGTGCGCACTGACCCCACTGCTGTGGTAGTAAAGCAGTGTAGACAGATCAGAGGATCCACATCCCTGGTATCTCTCCCGGCAAAGTCCCGTCTGTTCAGAGTTTATAAAATTATAAAAGAAAACCTCCTCATGGTGTAGTAGGTATAAACATTTATTATAAAAACATAGAGAACAATTAAAATGGTAAAGACCGGCCGGTCAAAAGCAGCGTCTGAATCGTCTGCAACTTCCTGGTTGAGCGTGGTATCACATGGAATAGGCCCGCCCCTATATATCAAAGATAGTAGCGATGATTTAGGTTCATGACCAGGGGTGAATAGATTATTTTTTGTTGAATATATTTTCTATAAACAACCAGAAATGTTTAACATCAGACTAAATATCATACACTGGTAGCAATGATTCTGTTAAAACAGGTTTTTTTTCAAAATTTACGGTACTTTTTCCTTAATATAGTAAAAAAATAAAAACCCCAGTGGTGATTAAATACCACCAAAAGAAAGCTCTATCTGTCCCCAAAAAAGGATATAAAATTCATTTTGGTACAGCATTGTATGGCTGAATAATTGCCAGTCAAAGTATCGCAGCGCTGAATACTGAAAAATGGCCTGGATGGGAAGGGGGTTTAACACCGCGGAAGTCAAGTGGTTAAAATATAGGATTTCTTGGTAAGGAACTCCGTTACAACATCATATGCAGCAAGGCTCAATACTCCCCTTCTGGTGGGTGGACAATCCCTCTATCTTAGTGTGAAAAGGGAAAATATCTTTTAAAAGTCCTGTACTTACTATCAAGTGGTATTACCCAACTGATGGCTATTGGGTTATTTGTAGCTCTCCGTTAACTGTTCTGTATCCCCCAATAGCTTCCCACTGGAAGCTCAGCACCTAGCTATCTGATCCTCTGCGACATTATTTATGTTAATTGCGTATAAGTTTAAGCAGATTAATAAAATTTAATGAAAATATTTAACAATATTTTCTCACAAAATGTTTTTTATTATTTTCATAAGTAGCAAAACTCATCGCCAAAGTATGACTCCAGAACTAGCAAAGTTTAATGACACTTATTTTAGAAGTTTAAAGAAGAACTCCAGGCACATTTTCTATTAAACCTTGCAGTGGGGCTACCCCTGCACTGCAAGGGTTAACTGCTAGTTTTGGTGCGATACTCCAAGCTGACCGACTGTGACAGCGTTCCCTCCTGCCTCTCTCCTCCTTAACTACAGTGATGATAGGTCCCTTGGCATTCTCACGTCTTATACACTGTGTATAGAACATGATGACTTAGGGACCTTTGACTGCTGCAGCGGAGAGGGAGTGAGGCTGGAAGGAGTGGTCTAAGATCAATCTGGCTCTGACGACAGGTGAGCATAACTTGTTATTTTCCTCCTAAGACCAAAACAAGCAGTTAACCCTTGCAGTGAGGGGGAAGCCCAGAGTTCTTCTTTAAACAAAAAAACGTCTGCTAACAAAGTTCTTTATTTGTGCAGTGGCTACTTTGGGAATGCTGAAGGCTCATGTGAAACGTGTGAAGGATCCTGCTGGACATGTGATGAAAGTAAAACAAAATGTTTGTCTTGTGTGGATGGCCTGTACCTGGAGAACAGCAAGTGCCTACCAAATTGTTCCCTGAGGTATTATCCAGATGATGACGGTATCTGCAAGCACTGTTCAGCCCACTGTACAGCCTGTGCTGATGAAAGAGCATGCCTTGGTACAGATTATCTTTACTAAACTGCTTTTGGTTTTCAGAATGTTTTATGCATGCTTTCTGTTGAATTTATTCCTAATAGTATTATTAATAGGGCACCCATTCAGGCAGTATCTTAATATAGGCAGAAAATTGCAACTAGTAAAAATGAGGGTGCTGGAACAAAAAAGGGGTATTCTCAGGGTAATCCCAAACTTTATCAGATGGTAAGGCAGCACTCCAAACAGCTTAAGGTTTTAAATATGCGCATACTATATCAAAATCATTTCACATAAATAGTATACAAAAATCTGATATACAAGACTGTACAAAAAATAGAGACAATAAAGTACAGAGAATAGTACATGAAAACAGGTTACTCTCACCGCTAGTACAGGGCTATATAAAGAATCATGGAAGCTTATTATGTCTCTTTAAAGGAGAACAATGAGGTGAGTGCTTTTCACTCACCTCATAGTTCTAGCCGACCTGTGACAATGAGACTGTCACAGGTGGGCTCAGTAGATCAGGAGGTGAGCGAACAGTTACCGGCGTTCGCTCACCTCTCGATCCTGTCACGGCTCTCTGAGGGGCTGGATTCCCCCCTCCCTGGCAGAACGGACGGGGGAGGGGACGGGTACAGCTGGCTCTGCCTCTAGAAAGGCAGAGCCAGCTGTCAGTCACGCAGCTGGGCGGTTCCCGGCACAATTGTTGGGATTCGCTTCAGCTGCGGCATCTCGGTATACTGCGAGCAGCAGCTCGCGGTATACTGTGGCGTCTCAGTATGCTGTAGCTCGCGGTATACTGAGCCTAGGGTGACGGGAGGACGCTAGTTTGAGTCCTCCCGTTACCCTAAGAAGAACTATGGGGAAAAGCCTTAACCCCATAGTTCTCCTTTACGTCACTGCCATTGGTAAGCAGGTGGCTTCCTTAGAGAGTCCTGAATAACAATGTGTGACTAGTTTCAGAGGGTCAGAAAAATGGCTAACAAAAACCTGCTCTTAGCTAGCACTACTTCTAAATAATTAAGATTGATGACAACTTTGCTTATATTTTTTTACTAGAGAAAACTGTGGAAATCAGCATCATTAACTGTGAAGGGTCTGAGTTATCAAGATTGACTACAAAAATAATGTTTTTTCTCCTTAGAGACACTTAAGGGGTGATGTGATTGCAATCTGCAAACGCATCAATGGGGATGGCAGTATTAGGAATACACTATTTAACCAAAAAAGTTTGAGGAAGACGAGAGGGTAGAACAAAAAAATTGGAGGGGATGCGGTATTATGTCAAACTGTGCAAGGTATTCTTTACTGTGAGAGCGGTAAAAATGTACAATTTACTACCGTAGACAGCTGTATCAGCAGAAAATATTACCAGCTTCCTCAGTTTACAGAATATACAGGATTTTGAGAATTGCTGGCACTATACACATACACAAACACATACACACACTATATAGGTTGAACCTGATGAACCTGTGTCTTTATTCAACTTCACCTACTACGTAACTATGTTACTACTATGTAACTAACAAAATTGTTTAAAGTTAATAAAGAAATCCTATATCTACTTCTAACTTCAATTGTTCCAACACTGATAGGTCACTTGTGCTGCATGTTCCTAGTTGTATCAGGACTAAAGCATTTTATAAGCACGACATGCCAGTCACTTAAAAAGGCCAATTTGAGCTTCAACTAGCTTGTCCAATATTTTTAATTGCACACTTTTATCACCACTATCTACGGTGGCCACACTTGGGGCAGTTTTTTGAAGCTATGCTTTCAATTCAAGTATCACTTGCAACTGTCAGGCCTGTTATGACATCCACAGAGGTCTAAAATAAGCACCAACCATCAGAGGTTTATTACCACGTATGGAGATTATCCAATTTGCTTTCAGTGGTAAACATGGAAGGAGAATAGTAACATACACACCTACTGTCACAAGTGGTCTGGGATAGGTAAAAGCACTCCAGCCACATGCTTTTTGGCAGATGCTCCCTTCCCGTCATTCCCTCTGAGATACCTGCCTGTCTAAGTCTAGCCTTAGTCCATAGTTTACATATAAACAATAGTGGGATGTAACAGACGTTAACAAGCTTCCCTCTAGCAGTTTGCACACTACTGATGTAAGACTAACTGGCCTGTAATTCCCAGGTTGGCATTTTGCCCCCTTTTTGAAAATTGGAACTACCGTAGCCCTCCGCCAGTCACTTGGAACTCTATTTTAGGAGGGGTTCATCAGAATCAGGGGTGGTTAATGAAAAAGTCAGTCCTTCAAAAAATGGTATTTGGCGTTTAATCCACCAACTAACTGGATTCCATATGGTATGCTAATCTGACAGGTAGCATTTTTTGCCGCAACCTCCACAACCTCAGTCCTTTAAATAGCCTCTGCTAAACAAATAATAGATGTTTAAATTTGGTCGACATCCAGTTTTATGGAGGCAGGCAGGCAGTACTAAATATAAATTGGTCTAGTGGGTGGGTCTTAGCATCATGTCCCATTTATTATTATCAGCAACTGGGACTTTAAACCAATTTTATGTTAAAATAGAGAATTTTTTTACCACTATTTCACCACTTTATGTGGTTGTTGATACCATGGCAGAGAGGCGTAAGGGTAGCGTGTGCAACAGATTGGCAGATAGGAGAGTGAGAGACTTTACTGATACCTATTCATAACTTAAAATTTTTTAAATTCAGCTGAAAGAATGATACCCTCATACAATGACTATGGCTGTTGACCAGACTACGGAAATTAAGTGCAGATATCCCACCACCAGATATCCCCTGAGTAATAAAAAGCTTGTAGGTATCTGAGTTACCAGTATCTATTTAAAGCAAAAATATTGGGTTTGAGTGGACTAGTTCTTTAATGTAGAGAGCACAAATAAAAAATAAAAAATGTGCTTTGGCTCAGGTTATTCAACTGTATACTTACCTCCCTAAATCCATTTTGCATGTGATTTATAATTTTATTTTTGTAGATTTGAACCATTTACATTTCATTTAATCAGAGTAAGATTTTTGAATGTTAACTAATATTATTCTCTGTATCTCAAGCCAAATGACTGTTTTCAGATTTGTAAATTCCACAATTCATGTTTCTGAGCCTCCATGTGGTCATCCATTTGTCACTGCACTAGATTAGTCACTGCATTAGAACAAGCTTTATGCCAGAACAGTTCCGAAGGCGTGAACTCCTGTCCTGCATAACTGGAGGTTAATGACTCACTAGGTAGTGAAGCTAGGCTTAGGTTGAACGTCTCAGGAAATGCATTTTCAACAATAAGTCAGCAATGGCAGCTCCCATTCTGTCCTAATAGGTTCCTTTTAAGGGACATCCTTGCCTTCAGGAGACCAGATAGCTAAATAAGCATATAATATAGTAACAACCCATGTTGTCTGGGTTTTGTGTAGAAAACCTTTTGTCTGGAAAAATGTAGAAGAGCATCCACATTTATTTTCTCATAAAATGTCTCTGAGTTACTTGAGGGACCCAAAGACATAAATACAAGGCTTGCCTACCTCTTGGGTATTCTGGAGCCCTTAACTTCCCACAAACAATTGCTCCATTTGACAGATAAGTTATTCCTGCTTTGTATGCAGCCCTATGTGTCTGCTGCACTGCTTAGACATATCTCTAAGCTCTAAGAATACTGGCAGAGGTGCACGTGTACACGGCTGTAGCAGTCTCTGTCTGCTGCTCCTTGAATTATAGGAAGGCTCAAGGGAAGGAGTCTTTTCTTAGAACTTGACATTAGCATACAGCTCAAGCCTGAATTTGAGAAGTTCCTGGAGCATGTAAAATGTTTTTTTCTTTAATAATGGAGTTGTCGAGCAAATCAGACAAACGGCAGGCAAATGGCAGAAGGCAGGCAGGACTCAATGTGTGGTTTAAGGTGATGTCTCTAAAGTGCATTAGCAATTGCAGAGCTCATATAATACCACAATACAATTGATTGTGATGTTATCATTGGTGTCATTTCTACATCTAATATAACAAATGCATTTGATAGGAAAAGGGTATTTGCCCAGTATTAAGAGAGTGGATAAGAAATCATTCTAGCAAAAACTCTTTCTTGACAAATGCTAAGATCAGCTTACAGAGAGCAGACAAAGTGCAAAGCACATAATGAAAGCAAAACCCATAAGAGCTGAAATTATTTATGAAGAACTGTCATACTGGCACAGCTCTAACTGTTTTCTCTGTTTCCTCTTGAAAGAATGCAGTTACTTATATCTTCTCTTCAATGGCACCTGCAAGGCAACATGCCCTGATGGTTACTATGAGGATCTTGATGCTGGAAGATGTGTTTCCTGCCACATCAGCTGTGAAACATGCTCAGGGCCAGCAGAGGATGACTGTGAGACGTGTTCTCCCACCAGCTCCAAGCTGTACCAAGGCAGGTGCCTGACCAGCTGTCCCAATGGAACTTTCTATAACGGCGAAGTCAGGGAATGTCAAGGTATGAGAGCTTTCCTCGTTATTTTCATGTTAACATTTGTATATGAAATATAGTACAAGTGCCATATTGGGATCCCTATAATATAAGCACTCTGTTAAAATTAGGGGCAGCTTAGTAAGGGTTAAAATATGAGGGCAAATGTAATCCCTAGGTGTAGTAACTGATTGCCAAACAGATCAAATGGTTCCCTATGGAATTAACTATGCAAGTAGCATAGCTACTGGAGGATTGTTCGACCATGCAAGATTGTTCATTATTGCATGCTACCTATGTAGCTTACTCCATAGCCTGCCATATGTTCCATCTGTTAAGTGATTGTAATTTGTCTCCCCCTGTAATCTAATTAACCCCTCTAATCTAGCCCCCTCCCTCCCCCTGCTTCTTACCTTTGGCTGAACGCTCCTTCCCTTCCGCCAGTGCTAGTGTACAAGGCAGCCCTGCACTCTGTATTTTGAATTTCACTAGCAAATGGCGAGCACTCAATGGTCAGCGCGGTCAGGCCAATGAAAAGCACTTCTGACCACGCCGACCAATGAGTGCTCACCATTTGAGAGCGAAATTAAAATTACAGAGCTTGGGGTTGCGCTGCCATGTATCGAGTACGGATAGTACACCAGCTCCAGTGGAGGGGAAGGAGGGTTTGGCCAAAGGTAAGTATGGGGGGAGAGGGGGTCAGATTGGAGGGAGTAATTCCATTTTCCCAAATTCACCTGGTATGGTTGAATTACCCTTTAAAAATATGCTTGTTGGCCAGAATTAATTCTAATCCTATGCTAATAAAAGTTATCTGTAATTTTGTATAAAATAGTTTTTTTTTTTTAAAAACACTTTGCTTGCATCTTTATAGAAATGAAATAAAGGAGATTGAATGGCATTGCCTGTAATGCACAGGTTGCTTTTAAGGAAGGCAAGTTGTTGTAGGTCAGTAGAGCCTTGCAGGTAATGGGATGAACAGGGTACTCTCTTAATTTTGCTTACTCTTGCCCTTTGTAATAATATTACAACAAGTAAATAATTGCATGTTCTGGATATACGCCTTAATCTCCTTCTTCTGCCACAAACCAACATAGCAGCACGTTCTGCCAGCTCCTGGCACTTGCAGTATAGGTCTAGTTCCTTTGGTCTAGAGAAATTGAATGGGTGGAATGGAATGTTATTCAAGAAGGAACAGAAGCAGTGCCAGAGAAAGGTCTGCTAACTGGCATTGGCGTCAAAACTAAGAATAACAAGTTCCTACTAAGTAGTGAAGAGCTTCGTTTGAATGACTCAACTGACACAAATCATATGACGGAGATTAAGAATCTGGATACAGAGATTGTTACAGCAGTGATTCTATCGGGAGACAATTCTCCGTCACAAATTTGACCAAGGTTCTGGCGCCAATCTTAGTTACACTGATAATCTAAGGGGCAGATTATGCAATGTATAAGCATTGATCATCTATTATAATGATTCATAATCTTTATAATATTAAAAAGATTTCCTGTTATTTTTTTAAATGTATATCACTAAAAGGTGCTGTAGCCTTTAAAGTTAATTGTTTTTAATACATAGCAGTAGCACAGGTAATTGGTTACTCTCAGTTCATTAATAATGAGTGGCATCAGTCACCAGATATCTTATGAAGACTTTATTTGCAAAGAGCAGGGGAGGATTAGGATGAATAAGGTTAGTTGTTTCGTTAGTTGAAGATTTCTCTCTTTTACAGCCACTTTAGTAATTACCTTGCATACCCAGCAATATCAGATTCAGAATTTGTCTGGCAGTAAGGGTTTTTGTGTATGCTTTGCTGTTTTTGAGCCCAAGGTGGACACCCAGTGGCAAATACTCTTGAACACTGCTGGAACACACTTTCAGAAGGGAACTCCTAAACCCAAGATTGTATCCAACTTGGCTGGAAAAAATCACAGTGGACAAATATACAAAACTCCCTTTGGAACGCCACCTAGGGCAGATGCGTTACACCTACTACTACTAAACATATTAGGTTTATTCTTTGAGGCAGTGCAAAGAACAATGATGGTGTTTCTATTACAGAAATCAGAAAGCTTTAACTATGCTCTATTGAAATAAAAGTGTACTTTGTGCTGCTTCCAAAAGGAAACTTACCACAAGAGTATTTTTTCGATTTCAAAATGATATTTTCCCCTATTAATTGCTTTCTGGGGGCCTTGTCTTAAGAAATGCAATTTATGCTATAAAAAGATTACCTAGGGAAGCCAAAGGGACTTTTTAATTATGATAATGACAATTTGTGAATGTGAAACAAAACAACTCAGTAGCTTTCTATTCCCATGCTCCCGCAACAATATGTAGGTGGTACTATTGGAGATTTACAAAGAAGTTAATTAATTCCCCATCTGTAATGAGATGCATATAATTGTGGCATTGCTTTTCATTTCATTTTAACTGTGGATATATAAAATTCAAGACACCTACCATGTGGTTATTTTTCTTTCTAACAGCTCTCTGAAGTCAGCAGACATCTTTTCAAAGGAATATGCTCCCTTATAGATTTGGAATTAGTTTATGAGTATACCTCATAATCATGTTACTCTAATTACAGGTGTGAAGTTTGAATCCACCCCTGGGTATATTTTTAGGGATAAATGCATTAGAAATGCAATATGGTTTCCTTAGAGTGTAACAAAGGCCAAAACATTTTTTTTCAGTTTTGGATAAAATAGGGAAGTGTTAGAAAACCTATCCAGTTATTATTGCTGTCTTTTTCCCTACTGAGGAGATTCATAATCTCTGTTTGTTCGGGACTAAAAGTGAGGGAACATCCAACATTTTAAATTGTCACTGAAGAGAAATAGAAAGGAAATCTGCCAGTGACAACTGTCTAAAGGAGAATTCCTTTCACTTTGGAGAGATTTCCTCTTATTTCCTATTGTGTCTACTCTACAGAAAGTGAAGGAATATCTCCCCAATGGAAGGGGAAAACAAGCTTTAACTTTAGAAAGACTTTAGAAAGACTTTAAAGCTTTCGTTGTGCGATGGTTGTAAGGTGATAAAAATTTTGTACGACATGCCCATCTTGGACAGGCAGATCGTACTTGCGATCATCGCAAGCCCTCCCCGCTGAGGGGAGGGCTTGCCGATGATTGCAATGCTGAGCGGGCAGTGTGCGCTTGCGCACATCGGCCCGTGCGGCTTTCGTCCTGCGATCGTGCTACCATTCTAGCATGCTCGTAAAACGAAAGTTGTGCGACCGTACAGTAAATGCGGTCGCATGCTGCCCATACACCTGCCGATTATCGTACGATCGCGGGATCACTCGCGATTATCATACGATAATCGTCAGGTGTATGGGCACCTTAACAATATGACTTTTTTCTTTCTAAATTAGTCCACATTGCCATCATCTGCGTGTGGGAAAATGTTGTTAGTTGTGACTTTTTGTTCAAGTTTTGTTTAAGCCTCAGAAGGTTTTTTCTCATCATGATTTTTCTGTGTAGCATGTTGTGCTGGATTTACACATCAACACAGGTTGCGTTGAGTCAGCAGATTCATTTTAAATTGGCTGTTACCAAACAACAATGCCTCTATGTGAATCTGCCCTAAAAATGTAGCCACACTCTTCCTGTTTCATTATGGCTTTTCTAAACACATTCTCAAAGCATGTACACTCTTTATGGTTACTGGAAGAGGTTATAAGGGCATGATTGAAAATATCCAGTAGGTCGGAAGTAGCATGGCTTGTATCACACCACCAGTTTAAATATAAGTCATACTAAACCAATATAGCATTTTATTTGCTACTCTAAAAAAATACAAACAATTATAAAACAGAAAAATGTTCAACTTTTTAAAAAGCATGTCATAATATGGATATTTTCAATCATGCCATTACAACCTCTTCAAGTAACCATAAAGAGTGTACATGCTTTGAGAATGTGTTTAAAACCCCATAGTTCTTAAAGGAGAACTATGGGGTAACCTTTTTTGCTAGTTCTGCTCAGGGTCACAGGAGGACATATACTGTGTCCTCCGGTGACCCAAAACTCAGTATATAGTGGGCTATTGTACGCTATATCCTGACAGCTGGGATGGATCCTGACAATACTGTTGAGATCCACACAGCTGGCTGATTGAGGCAGAGCCAGCTGTGCCTGCCACTTACCCCATCTGTTCCTCCGGTCATCGCTGGAGAAACAAAGAGGGGAGGGGGCGAATCTCTGCGGTGAGCGGTGACTGACAGTCACCCCTCTCTGCAGGGAGGGGATCGGGAAGCCATCGATCAGCTGTGTGTGTTCACTGATTTTCCGATCAATAGAGCCGACCTGTGACAGCTTCTTTGTCACAGGTCGGCTTGAATTATGGGGATGAGTGTTTTTCACTCACCCCATAATTCTCCTTTAACCACATTTAAAAAGACACTAAACTCAGGAGGTAAATCTTAAAAATGCATTTAAGTAATCTAACTATTAACAGAAATGTACCTTATTTGTGTATCACTCGGCTGTAGATCCTCAAACCATCTCTGAATTGGTGCTGACACTGTCCTTCCTTCTGGAAGGTGGCTACTTTTGTTCCTCATGGTTCCTGTGTATTGTAAATTTGCCACCACTCCAAGCTTGCTCCTGTGATGGACTACAACCTCAGGTTTAGTTTACTAATATGTATAGAGATTGTACAATATCATGGCAGTGAACTTGGAGCAGTGGCTACTTTACAACATACACAGGGACCATGGGGAACAAAAGTAACCACCCTCCAGAAAGAAGGACAGTGTCAGCCCCAAATCAGAGATGATTTGAGGATCAACAGCTGAGTGGTACACAAATAAGGTAAAAATGTTTTTTATAGGGTACTTGACTGCGTTTTTAAGATTTTACTTCTGAGTTTAGTGTCACTTTAAGCCAACTCTTGCCTGGCTGTAAATACCATGTGTCACTTTGTTTAAATTTCAAGGCTGCACAGAAACTTTATTTGCAAAAAAAGTATTGAATTCACATCTATGAGCTACATTTGCTTATGCCTAAAAATACATTGAAATAACTTTCAATACCTTACACTATAATTACCGTACTAGGCGAGTTTAAGTGCTCTGCTTGTCCTCTCATTACTTCTGGTCATAAACAGTTAGGTGGTAAGACCAGCTACATGTACTCATGCCACTTATTTCAGTAAAACATAAGACATTCTGCTGTGGTAATATGTAAAAGGTCAATGCTTCTAGGATCAAGGCTGAACTAAACGGCATTACATTTAAAGAATTTATACCTGTCCACAAGATTTTATTTATTTTTAAGTTCAAAATCTATGCAGGTAAAGCTATAAGAGAACATCTCAGAATTCTATCTATCTATCTATGTATCTATGTCTATCTCTATGTCTGTCTGTCTATCCCATCAAACAGTTCAGGACAGTAAGAACTTGTAGAACTTGCCAGTAGTAATATTCCTGTTGTTCCAGCAGAGGGTGCAAGCAGTTAGGCGTTTAATGGCTGCCCATCCTTTCGGACCTTTACCCTGTTTCACTAAAAATCACATCAGCATGCAGCTCTGCATGCTGATTTAAAATCATCTTACATTCATTAGTTAAACAAACTTGTTTTTCATTTACTTACAAATAGAGTTCATCTACTTCCTGGTCCACTTCTGGTACAAATGAAGGACATACACTTTTAAAAACACAAAAAACTACCCCTGGCAAGGTATCTATTAAATATAACTACATGTCTATTGCATATAATATACATGATTTTAAACTCTGTTGTCCATCATAAATCATTCACCCGGCTTATATTCCATTATCAATGGTAAAACCGTATTCACAGATCTTCTGGTGCATGGAAACGTGTAACAAAAACAGTGCTCCACCATATAAGTTGTCTGCTCTTCAAGCCTCACTTGACTGATATCTAGCCCTATCTTGGGTATTACTGAAAGTCCTCAAATGCACATCTTAATAATTTATTGTGAAAGAGGCCTGTTGATCCATGAATTTCTCCTAACAGGTAGGCTTGTACTGAATCTCTCCACAAGTCCCAATCACATACTGCATTTTGACAATGAAATATGTCAACAAAGGCTAGGCATAAAAGTAGCAGCAACTGGTACTCTGTCATATAAAAACCCACAACTGCTACACAGCCTCATAAACTTTCCTGTCATGGCCACATGATGGTCATTCTGATGAAAGCTTCAGCATTGGCCGCTGAGGCTACCACCATAGTGTTGGGACAATCGGGAATGCGAAGGGGGCAAGGGTTTTATTCAGAAATGTCAGAGCTTTGTCTGTGAAAATGGACTGACATTCGGTCATGACAGGAAGGTTTGGGAGGCTGCAGCAGCAAATTTGTTTTTTGTTTCTTTTAATTTCATGATACAGTCTCTTTAACTAACTGCAAATCTAATTGAAAAGCAACATTACAGTGAAACCATTATCATTTACAACTCATTTTCTTAATGTAATGAATCAGCTGCTAATAAACAACTGAAGACCTGACATCTTCAAACATGTTGTGTTTGAGTTTACGCCCTCCTCTACATCAGGTTTATTGCCTGTAAGTTTGAGCAGAACAGAAAGAGTAGAATAACTAAAGCTGTTTTCCTAATATACACCTGCTCAGCTATATCATGCTGAGGAGAATAAATGCTACACACAGGAGCTAAGAATCATGTATATGCTAGGTAAAACTAAAACATCACCATAAAACAAAAATTGTTTAACAGGAAATCTCAGATTTTTTCCCCCTAAAATTATACTGGAGCAAATTTTATATGCAAATTTCACATACTAATAAGGCTTAATGGAGATCGTCAATATTTATCAGGCAAAAACATCAAATTTTTAGGGTATAAAAACGTGGTGAGAAAGCGGCAAAGAACATAGAAAATACATAATTTAAAAGGTCAAAAAAGTCTTTTGACGGAAAGAATAATAATGGGGTCTCAGAAGGAAATTCACACTTCCTTGCACTGCTTGTCTGGCACACAGTACAGCCATAGATCGCTGGCCAGAAAGGCAAGTTGCAAGGAAAACGGTGCAGTCATTCATTACCCTCGATGAATGGCTCTTTTATGAGCTCCACTGAAGAGGAACTTGCAAGAATGGACAGCAAGAGGGAAATAACAGGTTCTACTGTAGCACATCAAATGCCACCTTCTCAGAAGAAGCACCTGGCTACAGCAGAAAGGCAAATTGTTACTTAGCAAGTGAATAAATGAACTTCGTACATAGCTAAGCTTCACAGGTGCATAGGTGACTAAGTCCATACTCAAAAGTCACTTGGAGGTCATGCACAGGCAAAATAAATAACAAAGTGCAGACTATACCTAAACAAAAAATTATTTTTAGCAGCAAACAAATAGATATACAAATGTTATTACTGATTTCCTGTTTAAAATGCACTGATATATATATAATGATATAAATGTCACATTCACTGCTTACAAAAATATAACAATAATAAAAATAATAATAAAAGAGAGGTGAATTATCCTCAGAAGCTGAACTTGGAACCATCTGCTCAGGAAAAACTGCTGCATGCTGGGTGTAAAGCATATGCAATTTTGCTTTTAAATAAATCCAAAAACATGGCTACCTTAATACTGATACAGCACTTGCGATGGAGGAAAAAAATGTAATTGCCGTACCCATGTTGGTCTATGGGGAATCGAATGTAAATTGACTTTTACATCAGATTAGCCCTGACCTGGCACAATCAGGCCCGGTTAAAAGGAACTCTGATCCTATTTTTGTGTTCTGGACCTGGCCCGGAGCCGCGGGTAACCGGGTGTAAACTAACGCACATCCATTTATATCTGGCTGCTCATAGACTAGCATTGGACTTCCGATCAGGTCAACCAGAAAAAATGAGAAAGCCTGTATGAAAGGGCTCTAAAACAGAAAATGTCAACACTAACAAAATTCTTCCATTCATCAATCAGATTCAAACCTTGGAAACTAAAAGGTGATGCACCAAGTAAACAGAGAAGAGGAAGTTACATGCACACAAGGCGGGCTGCCCTGTGAGCTACACAAGGCCAGCTGCAATGGATAACAGATAACTAATTAAAAGAGAAGTAGAGCAAAACCTTTTATTTAATTGGATGCATGATCAAAATAAAGAAAGAAGATTTAGTGGTAAAAAGACAAATAACACAAATAGTATTTGTTGCTATGCTACAACAGTAAAACAAAAATATGCATTGAGAGTGGTCATTTATGGAGAAAATATTTGGCTTCAAGATTCTTCACATGGTTATTTTGCCACACACACAACAAGCAGCACACCAGCCCTGAATTATTTTTCTCTGCCCCTAAATCACTCAGTTCTGCCTCTTTTCATACTTTTCATTATATCCTAAAATTAAGGCTGAAATCCTTTCTCAACAACAAAGCTGATTGCATTAAAGGAAAACTAGGAGGTGAGTGAAAATTACTCATCCTCCTAGTTCGAGCCGAGGTGTGACAATTAAACATTTACACGTCAGCTTAATAGATCGGGAAGTGAGCGAACGCATACTGTCACTCGCTCACTTCTCGATCATCTCCCTGCAGAGAGCCGTAACTGTCAGTCACGGCTCCCAGCAGGGATTCCTCCCCTCCCCGATCCTCCAGCGCTGACTGGAGAAACAGATGAGGTAGGGGGCGGGTACATCTGGCTCTTCCTCTAGATAAGCGGAGCCAGCTGTCACTCAAGCAGCTGGGTGGATCTCGACAGTAATGTCAGGATCCGTCCCGGCTGCGGCAGTCTCAGTATACCGCGAGCTGTAGCTCGCTATATACTGAGCTTTGGGTCACGGGAGGAAGTTAGTATATGTCCTCCCGTGACCCTTAAGAGAAAAGAACTATGGGGAAAAACATTTACACCATAGTTCATAGTTCTCTTTTAAATGTCCCTCTAGTGACTAATATGCCAATCTCTATTTAAAAAAATAATTATAAAATTATGGAAGAGCAAGCGTGTACTGTATAAATGTGAAAAGCATGTGATTCATAAATTGAATGCAAAAGTATTATATTAATTATTGTTTGTTAATCTGTATATTTTTTCTGTAGTTCAGTATTAGCTACAACCAGTCACAATGTTCTTGTCACACTTAAGTTTAGATGACTAATGTGTTTTATTGAAAGACAGCTTGTGTGGCATAAAATAGAAAGTTCTATGTATGACATGCAGCACTTTACAATGAGATGTCAACCTGTCCGACAGACTAAGCATTGTGTCTGTCACTTCTTAAATATAGAAATTCCTAGGCAACATTTAGAAATTCAGTGTTAAAAGAACAATGTTTCAGAAATTTGAATTTGATTAAGAAAATGTATAACTTGCATGAAAAAAAGTATACTATTTAAGGTAAAGATAATAAATAGTTTATGCATTTTTCATTTCAAAGTCTTCCAAGTGGTTTGTGTATTATTTTTTTTTCCGTTAGAGTGTCATATGACGTGTGCCCAGTGCTCAGGCCCAGAACCAACAGATTGTACCCAGTGCCAAGACCGTCTCATGTTTGACCAGCAAAGCCACATGTGTGGAGTAAAAGGAGAAGGGAATTGCCCTCCTAGGACTTTTCTTGAAGATGATTCATTCACTTGCAGCTCATGCGATAACACATGTGACTCATGTGATGGCCCGTATCCTAGAGATTGTCTAACATGTTCTGTACCCTTCTATCTATACCGTAAGTACCAGTTTATTGCTGTATCAATACATTAAATTATTCTTAAATTTTTTAATTGTTTTATTACTATTATTCAGTTAAGAAGAAGAAAGTATCAAAAACCTGAGCTATATACAAAGAATATATATGTACATCCCCATGAATAATATCAGTGCATGCTTTACTCTTGAAAAAGTGACATCTTGCCACAAATCCAGTAAAGTCGCTCTTACATTTGTTCTACTTACTGATGTTTCCAGTTTTTCTAATTGATGCATAGTGCACAGCCGCGTTTGTTTTGTCTCATTTTTCTTGTTTTGTTTTTTTTCTTATTTTTTTCTTTGTTAAAAGGTGTCCTAACTTAAAGTAGTATTAAACTCATAAAGTTCAATAATAACTCCAGATAAAACAAATACACATTGCTCAGCAATGTATTTCTTAATTTTTTGCCCACGAACTTACTTAGTCATCGTGTTTTTGAACAGCTGGCTCCAACTCCAGTACAAGATCACAAGGGACAGAGTCGTTTCCAGCAGCCGCCCATCTACTAGCTTAACGAAGGGGGGGAGGGAAGAAGTAGGAGCAGGAGAGTGGCTTACCCTGCTGTGTCTGTGGAGACACACAAGGACAGTCTCATAGGTCTTAACACGGTAAAACAGGATATTGGGGCCAGTGCTCAGAGGACCAGCTGATTCCGCAGGAACTAAAATGTTTAACTATCAAGGAGCAGCATCCATTGTAAGTGATTTAATCGGCATTTGCCATAGCTTTAATATCACTTTAACTGTGTTGCTATATTGGAAGTTTTGTGAACTTCTCTGTAAAAGGTGCAAGTTCTTTATAGTAGCTAGACAAGATGGCATGGCTTGTATGTCAGCTGTCAGTGTCTGCAGAGATGATTCAGTCTACACCAATGACCCAAACTGACCCAGTTCGCCATTCAGGACCTCTTCTGTTCACCTTCCACCCTTGTCTGGGTTCTCTAAAATAAAATTCCTTATAAATCCTAGTGCTGGTCCTGCCTTGTTCGTGATGGGGTAGAGAAGAAGGATGGAGGGCCAGCTGTCTTGGGACTGGAGGATACTTTAAGCACTCCTCTCTATTATATCCCCCTGAGCAAAAAACCATTGTATTATGCATGGATTTGAGGTTTTTCTGGCCAGCCTGGAGTATAACTTTAAATTAGGGATGTCCAGATACCAGTGCCGATACTTGGCATTTTCACGAGAACTACCAGGGTTGCAGCGGTTTCAGCTTGGACCTAGTTCTGGCTCTCCACCACTGTTCTGAAATCATTAGTCAATATTGTTTTAGAAAAACTGTCCCATGGCAATAAACAAAAATGTTTTAGTACTTGTATCTGTGAGTACTTGGACAAGTATCAATACGTGTACTTGAAAAAGGGGTATTGGTGCATCCCTTATATATATATTTTAAAAAAAAGAAATGCATTAAAATAGGGATATACAAATCCCAGGAGCTCCGTATGCTCCTTAAAAATGACAGCTGCCTCCTAAATTTTGAATTTTTCTCTAGTCTAGTCCTGGAGCTGGAAAAGCATCTGTACATGTACTTGTACCGAGTATGGTACTTGGTATCTGAACATCCCTTCTTTAAATTGTTACATTAGTATACAATATACTTGCACTTCTGAATTATTCTTTATGTATAATAAAATGTTAATTCATGTTGCAAAAAGACACATGTACATCAAATTGAATTAAAAAAACTTGGCCTTGAATCCTAAATCAGTGTTGGATCCAGAAAAAGAAAATGCAAGTTTAAAGTTATAAGGGTGTTAAGTTTCTTCAATAAAATAAATGAGCATTCCCATTATATAATGCAAAGCATCAGATATATTTTGTCATGTTAAGTGTATCCATACAAAGTAATTTGTACAAGTAACACTATTACATTGTTTATTGTTAGTGATTATACTCTATAGCATTCAATACCTTGTCAAGCATAAGTACATTCAACAGTGCAGCCTACTGGCTGTTTATGTTAATGCAATACAACTGATGGTACATCAACATATGTGAAAAGTACCAAAAAAATGCAAAAACCTCAGTGAATGTTTTTTTAAATGTATAATAAGTTGGCTTCAAATAAAAATGCCCCGCATAGACTGTAAATGGACATATCATATATTAGCACAGTGATATACAGTGTTATAAAAGCATATGAAATTACCCAAGGAACAAGTCACATTTACATTTTAGTAACTATACACAGTATACAATACAGAGTATTTGAGTATTTGTTATATTTCTACACAAATGACTTTTATTTCACATACTATATTAAAGATGCCTAAATGTTATTTTATGGTGAGTTAGAGCAGTTTTAAAGATCACCTAAAGGTAATTCTGTCCAACAATGTACAAAACAAGATCAGTCTCCAATATGCCAGTAAACCAGCACATCCGAATGTACAAATGGGATCTGGGTTATAATGGCATTAGTGCAAAAACAGGACCACACATATACAAATGCATGCAATATATGCCCAGTGTATATAATAGTCAGTGATATGATAGTATATGGTTTTGCCTGAGGAAGGGACCTTGTAATTTTGAAACGTTGCCTATGATGATGTGACACTATAGAAGTCAATAAATATTGACCATGACACACTCTGGAATGCTAGTGACTTCTTTTTACTTGGATTTATTTTGCGGAGGCATCCGCTGCCCCTTTAAGCACCCACCCTATATTTTCTGGGGCTTTTCATCCAGTCAGGAGTGCGATGGGCTTGGATGTTTATTGAACTGCACAGATTGAAGGCACCCCATGTCAGATTCAGCAAGCAGTCTGAAATCATAATTGAGTCTACTCCATGTTTCACAGTAGGTACGGTTTTCTTTTTTTTTTAACTACCTCCGGGCCAGCCGTAGTAAAAAAAAACAGGAGCTCTTCCCCCCTGCCGTTGTCCCGCTGATCCCGGGCTCCGCTCTGCCCGGTGCGAGCCTGGGATCAGCATGTCGCCTGTATCACAGAGGATCAGAGGGAGATCATTACACGAGCTGCCTCCGGTCCCCTCTCCTCTGCAAGAATGTGAAAGTGTTGTATAATACATCACTTCCGCATTCTTGTGTCACTCTCCAGCTTCAGAAGCTGGAAAGAAGCTGATGGAGTAGATCTGTGCTTCATCAGCTTCTTTTGGAGGGTCCTAGGTGACATTAGGGGTCTTGGAGACCCCTGATGTCTCCATAAAGAGGACCTGTCACATATTTTGCTATCACATAGGGGTGTTTTATTAGCCCCCCTATGTGATAGCAATAAAGTTTAGTGAAAAAAAAAGCCCCCCCAAAAAAATTTTTACGTTACACATAAAAAAGAATTTACAAAAATAAAATTTTAAGTCCCCACCCATACATACACGCATGCAAACATGCATCGGGGGCGCATACGTGCAAAAAAGACGATTGCACCCATTACGCTGCACTTGTTACATATCGGCGCGAACGTCGCAGTGAGAGCAATACGTCTAGGGCCATCAATCACTGATAACACTAAACTGATGAGCGGTAAAAGCTTTTAAAGTGTCGCCTATGGCCAATTTTGGGTATGGTAGTTTTCTTTTCCAGCCACATTCATTGAAGTTGGCTACACTTCCATGGAATCTATTAGCATTCCTGCATGATGATAATGTGTGATAAAAGGTGCATTTTTACAGATTTTTACTGCGTCACATGGTAAAAGGTGGAATGAAGTGCAATGTTTAGGGATGTCAATGCACTTAGCCAGCACCCCACAATGCAGGTGTGTTATAGCGCACACATACATCTGAACCATTTGTTATTTGTGGAAAAATCTTGCAGGTCTATCGAAACAAGTATTGCTGTGCAATAAAAACCTGTTTAAAACAAATGGGCACACGTAATGCAACACAAGTTAAAGTGAACCTTACTCAATTTTAAACTAAAGGCAGACATCACAAAATCCGGGCTGCTTTCCTAATCAGTCACAAAAGCCTTTTCTGTGGCCTTCCCTGATTTAGTTTTGATACTAGGACTTGACTTTCCCAGGCTTGATGACTAAGCTCCATCAGCTGCTGTCCCCCTGTCCAGTGACAGTGCTTTCACTGGCCTTTGGTGATAATGGAAATGTTGTGTAGTTGTTATTTAAAAATGTATATTTGCCTTGCTGTATTGGTACATTGGCTATTTTTTAGGAAATAATGTGTTTCTACTCCATAAATTCTACTCCATAAATAACCGTGTGTTGAAGAGGAACCACCGCTCCAAGCTCGCTCCTGTGATGGACTACAATCTCACGCTTAGTTTACTTATTTGTGTTGAAGGTATAGTCTATCACAGGAGCAAACTTGGAGCGGTGACTACTTTACAACACACACAGAGACCATGGGCAGCAAAAGGAGCCACCCTCCAGAAGAAGGACAGTGTCAGCACCAATTCAGAGATGATTTGAGGATCTACATCCGAATGATACACAAATAATAAACATTTTTGTATCAATGTCTAAAAGTCCTTTTTGTATTATGCTACTCTCGAACTGGAGCCAATAGTTTTGTTGTGTCTTTTCTGCATCTGTTAAATGTGTTTGTCAAATTGTAAGTCATATCACGATTACCAGGTATTTATTACATAAATGATGTAATAAAAAATATAAAATGTGATTTACATTCCAAGTATGTTTATGGTTCTGATTTTTAATTGTTGCCTATAGTTCTACATTTATGCTTCACACTTATATGAATTTGTTACAGAAAGAACATGTGTAACGCAATGTCCCAAAGGGACATACAACACTAGTGAGGAGGCGGATGGGATGATACTTGGATTCTGTTCCAGCTGCCACCAAGTATGTACAACATGCAATGGAGGCTCAGCTAAAGACTGTGGCATGTGTGCATCTGGATACTATAAGCTCCTTCACCTTTGCATTCTACATTGTCCCCCTAGGTAAATATATCCTTGTGATATCTTGTGTACTGCTACGCTACTCAATGAAGCACCTACAATTATATTTATAATTTTATTTTTAATAAAAATATATTATATATATTTATTTCAATAGCACCCAACTGTAAATATATAGCTGTGTAATTATAGAGCTTTCTAATCAAATGACTACCTGCTGTTTCCTTGTATATGTATAGCACTGTCTGTCTATCTATCTAAGCTTTTATTTCTGGCCAGGAAATAGGTATCTGAGAACTAAAAATGATACATCTATTATGATCACCTTTGGGGCTGAAAGAAGCTAGATAACAGATCACCAGCTGCTGCACTAGTTCATGTCCTAGTTTAACTCAGAGTCACTTTAAATTTCAGGCCCAATCAATGAACATGCATAGGAACCTACAGAGTTACTGTTCTAATATTTCTAATGTTACAGCTTACATTCTGAAATACATTCAGCTTCCCCTCGAGTGACAGCAGGGAAAAAAAAGGAAATGAAGAAACATCAAAGCATTGGGGAAAAGCCATAAAGTTTTCAGCATCTCATTTATAGCATGCAGTATATTTTCAACTAATCCATACAGAATATGAGAAGCTTACATCTCTTTTTCTCATAACTATTTCCTCCTCCAAAATGATCTCATTAAAGCATACATAATGATATCAGACTGTAATAAAATACAACACTTCAGATAAAGAAAAAAGCTCTTATTGCCCTCAACATTCTCTACCTCGGGTGTCTTACATACAGGTGAAACTCGAATAATTAGAATATTGTGCAAAGTTCATTTATTTCACTAATGCAACTTAAAAGGTGAAACTAATATATGAGATAGACTCATTACATGCAAAGCAAGATAATTCAAGCCGTGATTTGTCATAATTGTGATGATTATGGCTTGCAGCTCATGAAAACCCCAAGAACCCCAAATCCACAACCTCAAAAAAAGTAGATTATTACATGCAATCAATAAAACAAGGATTGTACATAGAACAATATCGGACCTCTGAAAAGTACAAGCATGCATATGTACTCAGTACTTGGTTTGGGCCCCTTTTGCAGCACTTACTGCAATTACTTTTGCATGATATTCTAATTATTCGAGTTTCACCTGAATAAACTGGTACAATTTCTGCATTTGCTGGGATTTGTTATATTACATTAAAATAAAATATGAATGTTCCACGTTAGCAGAGACTATCGTGGATCTGGAATGTTTCATACTAAACTGATGTTTTATAAATTGGATATTGTATTTATTTCTAGAGAAGCTTAAAGAGAACATGTGCTGATACTATACACACTCAAGTATTTACATATTCTGAACAAGCACTTTAAAACAAGCCCTCCTTCACCTGTGTGGCAATAGGTATTGTGGAGAGCTTCATTGTCACAGTTCATAACAGAGGCATTAAAATGTTAGCTGTAATGTCCTTTACTTTAGATGGAGAGCAGAATCAAGGCATTCCTGTAATGAAAATACACAGTCGGTGTTTCTAAGCTGTTAAAAAGCAACTTTAGAGTCTATGTTGTGATTTTTGAGCAAACTTTAGAATTCATTGTTTCATAGTTCATGCAGGCTACAGAGGTCAGTGAAGGGCTTACTTTAAAGTTTTTTTCTGTTTGTGGTCTGTCTGTCGTCTGGACACAGGTGCTACTAGAGGCATTAGATGTTAGAATTGAATCAATCCATGCCAATCACAGGGCATGGGGGACATTTTTGTTCAGTGTGCTAACATACTACGTGCAATAAAATAATCTAGGATATAATTCTCATTTAACAGTCAAAAAATTGTATCACTTCTCTTTTTGTATAAGATACTACAAGAGCAACAATCAGTGTGAAAAGTGCGATCCTCAATGCGAGTTGTGTGCTGGGCCTGGCCTGGATTCCTGTCTAGAATGTCCATCAAACACTTTCCAGGTGGAGGGAACCACTCATTGTGTCAGTCACTGCCCTGAGAGATTTTATTTGCATGGGAAGAAGTGCAGAAAGTGTCACCCAAGCTGTAGAACATGTAATGGTAAGACAATCTAGAAACTATGACTTCTAAGGGCTTGTTCACACCAAATCTAGACCAGATGTGCAGTGTGCTTTGCTGCGTTTTTGCCACGTTCCGGGCCTTTTTTTTTTTTGTTTAGCCTAAAATGGGCTTTCAGTGCATTCCAGGGCGTTTGCACCCATTTTTGATACGTGTGCACGTGTTCCAGAGCAGAAAAAATAGAGCATGCTGCAGTTTTTCCACATGCTCTGGAACTGGACGCTGTGGTGTGAACTAGAGCCCAAGATATAATTGGAATACATTGGATGCATTTGTGATGCATTCTGTAACTGCTCTGTATCTGCTCCACACTTGGTGTGAACTAGCCCTTACTCTTTTTTTAAGGTGTTTTATTAATGAATAGTTTGTATTTTTTAACACTAAAGAAGACAATTAAAGCACATACACACAGCAGTCCTCTTCTGGGTCCCCCTAGATCTCCTATAGGTAAGATAGAAGTAGGAGTACAGTTATCACATATTCATCAAAATGTGATATGTATTCAGAACAAAGCTTATCCACAAGTTAGGACTGCTATCCTCCCAGGCCTCCAAATGTTGCCATATATATATTAAGGCAGGCCCTGCTAATAGAGTTGTTTTTATTTAGGCAGTATTTCATTATTAGTAGTAGTGAATGTCTTTATATGTAGAACTGAAGGGTCCTTCCATTTTAGCACAATTACCTTTCTGGAGTAGAACAGCAAAAGTCTTGTGCATATTAATCATATATACATGAAACAACTGTTAACACAGAAATGGTCTAACCGCTGTTTAGGTTTTATCAGCACCTTAAAGAAGAGCTCTGGATCCTTTTTTTATTAACCCCTGCAGTGGGGCTACCCCAGCACTGCAAGGATGAACTGCTTGTTTGGGTCTAAGGATGAAAATAACAAAGTTATACCCAATGTTCCGAGCCAGCTGGCTGTGACAGCAGTACCTGCAGCTTGTCTACTCCTCAGCTGCAGCAATGGAATATCCTCTTGTGCTATACACAGCACATAGAACATGATGACTCAGGGACCTTAGACTGCTGCAGCGGAGGGGGAGAGACATTCCAGGGACCGGTCTAAGAGCAGTGCAGCTCAGAGCTTCAGGTGAGTATAACTTTGTTATTTTCAGTTCTTAAAGTGACATTAAACCCTCAGATTTTTAACATAAACCAATACTGTAATGTGTGCCTTGCTGTAATCCATGGTAGTTTCCCTTCTCTTTGCTGCTCTTCCTTTTAAATCTGTATCTCTTCTCATGCTTGGGGAGAACTTCCCTTTGCAGCTGAGTGCCTCTTCCTGTAGTGCTGGCTCAGGTTGCAAACCTACACACAGACACCATGTAGCCATTTCAGAGACAAGGCAGTCTGCTGCAAAACAGATGTTCTGCCCAGCATGAGAACAGATACAGATTTAAAAGGAAGAGCAGCATAGAGAAGGGAAACAACCATGGATTACAGTAAGGCACACATTACAGTATTGGTTTATGTTAAAAAATCTGAGGGTTTAATGCCACTTTAAGCTAAATGAGCACCTTTCAGTGTGGTGGTAGACCCACTGCAAAGGTTTTTAAAAATTTACCCTGAGTTCGCCTTCAAGAAATAGCTTGGTTTAGGTCACTGCCAATAAGGGAGACTCCACTCCAAGAGGGACTTCTATCCTCCCCATCCTGTATAGCTACCTCACAGCTTGTTTTTGGGGTTTAGAGTTCAACTATGATTGAATCTCACAGATATTTACTAAAGTAGCTGGAGTACAAGATTCTTAGATTTCTGTGCTGTAATAATTATTATTATGGAATTCATTCATTTAGAAAACATTGTTACATTAATGTTTTCTGTCGAATTAATTAACTCATTAGGATTGTCAGCAACTGAAGTGATTTTCCCAGAATCTCACTCTACAATTACTATACTATATCCCTATGAGACTCATTCATACTAGGGCTGTACAAGAAAGAAGAGATTGGGCACCTATTAGTAATCCTAGAAAGGGTTTTTTTAATGGAAAATGGAATCAATTCAGGGCAATAAAAAAATAAAACCTGTCATGTTTATTTGTGACCCTAATATGAGGTGGATAGGTTGCATTATCACCAATAAACTGATAATAACATTATTCAAAATTTTTAGTTTGCCCATTCATAAATAGAAATCGGGATATTCCAAGTCTATGGTTTGGAATTTCATATGCTGTGACTTTTAACATGTACTTCTATATTCTGTACAGATTCATCAGTTCAAGCATGTACAACTTGTGACAAAGGCAGCAGCCATAAAGGAGGAGTCTGTTATCCGCAGTGTGAGGAGCATCGCTACCTAGATGATGATGTAAGGAAATACAGAATATGCCGAATAAATATACTGTATTTGATATCTTACATCTCACCCTATAGTAATTCTAGAACTCTAGTACCACAGGGTTAAAGTGGGCATATTGACATCACTGTCTTGATGGGCACATGGTCACATGGTTGATGGGCAGATTCTCTATTACCAGCCTGTTCCCTGTGTCTCTAGTACATTTGGGCATTTTTTATGCTACTATATCATATTCAGTCTTGTAAATCTTGCAGTAAAACACCTGCCTATACACTGTTTGTTCTACATTTGGATCTATTCTTACACATTAAAGTTGTCTTGCTGCTGGCCAGTTTTACAATACTATATCATCTGTGGTATATTGATTCTTGTAGTAAATCGCCTGCCTTCATTATTTTTCTCCAGTACATTTGGGCCCAGTCTTGTTCATTAAAAAACTATAATCTGTGGCTTCCTAATGAGAGTTTGCTGGAAATTGACCAGCAGCAAGATGGCTGTGCATTAGATCGAACAGGGACAGTCTTAATGAACTACTGGCCAAAGTCAGCTGGTGGTCAAAGTTACTCTATTAGTGCTTTATAAAGAAAAGCGCGTGTCGCTGATAAAACTACCTGATACAAGCTTTTCTTTAAGCTGAAATTAATAGGATTGGGGTGCTGCTGCGGTATGTAAACTAAACTTATTTTAGAAGAAAATCAATTCCACAGCCAAAATATGCACTGCCAGAGTATGCTGCCACTGGAGCTGTCCGTGAAAATAAATCATACTGTTCTTTAATTCTAACCATCAAAGCTGCATAAAAAGTACCATCTCCCAACTGTACAATATTTTAAAAAAAATGTTGGCCTTGTTACATGTCTCCCATGGTAGTGCCCAGCTTCCCATGCCTTTTGTTGCCTCTTGGTGCTACAAATGTCCAGCATTGACTAACAGTGTTCACAACCTATAATCTTCAATGGGATGCACAGCTAAGTTTGGGTCCAGGGAATTTTAAACAAGATTTACCCAACCCTTGGCTAATCGAACCTGGGCAAATTAGTTGCTCATCCTTAGTCATTGAGTCATATACTTGTGATTACTTGTGATCTATCTAAAGTGCTATTACCATTTTTGGTATGTACATGTAATTGAATATGACACTAGGGGGTCTATTCCCTAAGCTGCCGTAGGCAGCCGAGTGAATGACCGACCTGAACACTGTTCGGCTATTCACTTCAGGCTGGTACGGCTGATTTCAGCCGTACATCGGCTGAAATCAGCCGTACATCGGTGTGCTTCATATGGCTTCGGGTCGGCCGAACATGCTCAGCATGTTC